CAAAAGCGCAACTAGAACTCTAAATGGTACCTAGCAGATTTCAGTACAAAGATATTGGTAAATCAAATATACACAGATATGCAGAGGATGCTGCCAAAAAAAAAACAAACCCAAAACTAAAAAAAAAAGAAAACCGAAAAAAGCACAACAAAACAAAAAATCCAAAAACCCTTCAAAACAAAACTTTTAAAACAGCAAGCACGTACGCCTCCTACATATACAAAAAGCTAAGCAGCTGGCTGAAATCCATGAGATGTGCTCCAAACTATCAGTATACTCAAAACTACCTGAAAGTGCAACGGTAAAATATATCACACATCTCGTACCAAATGCGCCATAACTAGTTCGTGTTTTGCTCCTAACAGAGGAAGTCTTATGTGATACCTTGACATTGAGTTCATTTTCTCCTACTGCAAATCACAATGCAGTGTCAACTTGTGGGTTAACCCCAGCCAGCAGCTAAGCCCCACACAGCCACTCACTCATTTCTGCCCAGTGGGATGGGAGAGAGAATTAGAAGGGCAAAAATGAGAAAAATTGTGGGTTGAGTTAAAGACAGTTTAATAAGTGAAGCAAAGCAGGGCATGCAAGCAAAGCAAAATAAGGAATACATTCACTACTTTGCATCAACAGGCAGATGTTTAGCCATTTCCAGGAAAGCAGAGCTTCATCATTCGTACCAGTCACTTGGGAAGACGAACACTGTAACCTCAAATGTCCCTGCTTCCTCCTTCTCTCCCTGAGCCGTTACCACTGAGCATGACGTCATACAGCGTGGGACATCCCTTTGGTCAGTTTGGGTCAGCTGTCATGCCTGTGTTCCCTCCCAGCTTCTTGTACATCCCCAGCTTACTTGCTGGCAGGGCAGTGTGAGAAACAGAAAGCCTTGACACTGTATAAACACTGTTCAGCAATAGTTAAAATTTTGGTCTGTTACCAGTACAGTTTTGGTAAGAAATCCAAAACACAGCACCATACTGGCTGCTATGAAGAAAATTAACTCCATCCCTGCCAGACTCAGCATACAATTTGTACAGTAAGTTTGTTCAATCAGAACTAAACCTTGTAAATACTTAAATTGTTCAGAAGGGAAGTTTTAAAGTTGCAAACTGTGCTGAGACAAACTCACTGAGAATGGAGTAAAAAGTCTGACTTTTAGATTTTATTTTCCAATGTGTTTATGCCTTCAGAAAATAATTCAAGTGAATGAATTCTGCCAAATTTGAAAGGAGACCACATGTCACAGCTTTTTTAATGAAGAATATCCTTAGTGGGGTTTTTGCCACTTCAGTTATGCAAACAGTCTGTTTAAAAGGCATCTTCTTACTGACTGAAAGCCTGTAAATCTGGAGAAACACTTCTGAGTTTTTTTTTCTTTGAGATGTAGTGATTTTCATAAGGCATTGCTATCTGTAAATCAAAACTGATTTTAACCAATTAATACTTCTCATTGCCGCTATACCAGACATAGCTGCTGTATTTATTCATACAGTAACAATTCAAATTCCTACTTCAGGAATATTGTCTCTGAATATTGTAAGTAATGCATTCCAACTTCACGTGGTTGAAATCAAACAGGACTTAGTGCCCAGTAGGTTTGGGTTTTTTGGTTTGCTTTTTTTTTTTTTTGTATACTTTTTTTAGAATCACTCATTACTCATGTCCATGATTTACAGTGACTGACTTCTAAATGAAGCCATATCCGCTGACACACAGAGCTACTGGTATCTTATTAAAGTTCTAAAGCTAACAACATTGTTAAAGGGAACCAGTCGAAGTCTGTGCATCAACTCACACAGATGTGGTGTTGTCATTAATACGGTGCATCCATATTATGCATTCTGTAATCAGAAACTTTAGAGCTGAAAGTACTTTTTCTTATGAAATTAATTATAGGAATAATTCTATGATACAACTGTCAGATGTGAATCAAAACAGTTTAGGCTGGAAATGACTGACAGAAGTGATTTTTCTACCTGCTTAAAGCAGGGCCAACTTTGAAGTTAGATCAGGGCATTCTGATTCTTCATCCAGTTAAGTTTTTTGTACCTCTGGGACAAACATTCTACAGCTGCTCTGAGCAATCTGTTCCACTGTTTGAACATCTCTGCTGTCGAGAACTTTTCCTAATACCTATCCCTTGTTGCAGCTTATGACAATTGCCCCTTGTCCATTTGCTATGCACTCCTCAGAAGAGCCTGACTGTTCCCTCTATCCTCTCATTAGGTAGTTGAAGACAATAAGGTATTCCCTTAGCCCATCTTCTTACAGAGAGGCATTAACAATGCAAGAGTTACCACAGTAAATTTCCTGATAAATTTATTGAGCTTTCTTAAATCTAAGGCAGCTGATGATTTTTTTTTTTTTTTTTAATTCTTTTGAAGTCTTCTGGAACCTTTTTACAGTTCCTGCGTTGATAAGACAGTAGTAGAAGACAAATTATATTTGAAAGGAAGCAATGATCTTTGAGAAAAGTCACTTACTTGAGGACTAAAACCTATCAATATTGAACGTAAAGCTTAGTCCAACAGATAAGCCCAATTTTTTCTTAATCATCTTTCAAGTATACAAATAAAAAGTTGCAGTTTCTGGAAACAAGGCAGAGGAGGATAACAGAGAAGATACTTTTGCTTTTAGGTATATGTACAAAAGTTCTCCTGTTGCTTGTTTGTTTTGTTTATTTTTGTTTGTTTGTTTTTTGTAAAGTATCGTAATTATCCAGTATGTTTATCATAAGTTCAAGAACAACAAACCTTACAGCTAAAATCGCTCATCTGCAGAGATTAAATCTACTTCAGCCTCAGCTTGAACTTAATTGAAAGATTACTCAAGCTGCACGAATCCCTTCATAGAAGCTACAGAGACAATGGGCCTCAACAAAGACTCTAAGAAGCAGTAAGAAACCTGAAGGCAGGCTCTTTATTTCTGACAGTCAACAAGTAACGCATGCAACGTTTTCCTTTGATTGACTGTCTGAAATAATGAGTAAAGAACAATAGCTTCTTTCAAGCTTGTTCTAGTAGAGCCATTTCATCCAAAAAAATTTGTTACTCTTGTTTTCAGAGTAGAAAGAGAAAGTATACCCTCCTTACCCCAAGTAAAGGGGTTTACTCGTGCCCCCGCTTCTTTTATGCTGTTTCTGGAGAGGGGAAGAAGAGAGGCAGGAAACAGAATGAAGAACTACCTCATAGTGAATTTGAATTATAATGTGTTTGGGAAAACATCCACCTAAGAAAGATGAAGCTTTACCTTAGGGAAGGCAGAACAGTTTACTTACCATTTGATATAAAGTTCAATGAAGATAAAGATTAGTTCAAACTTATTCAGCTACATGCCGAGTGGGCTGAGAATACAGCATATCAAGTAATAGATGGTGATCTTGGAAGTTTTGGTAAGTGGTAACAACACCTGAAAGAATTTATAAAAGGTCTTCTGATAAAAAAAGAGAGACATTCGTATGTTACTACATATGAAAACATGGTCATCTACATGGAAATCTACTTTTTAAAGTTCCTACGTCAACACAATTCCTCTTCTGGTAATGTAATTGGCAGTCAATAACTGGACACAGTTCCCTGTTTGACAGCATCTCTAAGAAATAGCTTCATATCTACACATGATATTTGCTGAGGAAACCATAGTCCAGTGTGGATTTGCATGTCAATAAGCAGAAGTTTTTATATTTAATGAACAGGAATGGATAGCTTAGATTTTAACAGACACATTTAGGAACATCATATGCATAACTCGATAGAATAGAGTTGTGCCACAATTTATGTCATCATTCATCCTTGTTGCACACAAATAAAGTTACTTTCTTAAGCAGAAAGGGAACTTCCTCCCAGAAAGGAAGGAAAACAAATTAATCCATACAGCTTCACATCTCCCCAACCATCCAGCCAAATACACTCCTTCACATCCCACAAAACACAATTAATTTACTGCTAGGTTTTCATCAGAAGTGTTGAATCATCCCACCTTCTAGCGACTCAAACTTCATTTCATTGTCTCTCGTACAGCCTGTCACCAAGGCAAAGCCCTACATCCAGAGCTCTTCTAAGCATGCTCAGAAGTCACACCTTCACGTAGAGCAAGGACAAATGCCTGCACTTTGGTTGCAGAGTGGATTACCATTTCATTCACACATTCCCACGAGCATGGCCTCGAAAGGTTACGTACGCACATACAGCAGTGTCTAATGGTTCAGAGTAGTTTTAACTCTAAGCCTAACACCACCACAGCCTACAACCAGAGAAGTTCCCACATCCTAGACAGCAGCTCGCTAAGAAGAGAGAGAATTGATAACAATTAAAAGCAGCCCACAATTTCACAGACGCTTAGAGGGCTACAGGACTCACTCGGGGATCCTGAACCCCACAGGCAGATAGCAAGTGAGGGGACACGAAAGCGAATGAGGGGGAAGGAACGTTTGGCAGAACGGGAGCGCAGGAAGTCTCTCACAGACGCCCTCCTCCGCTCCTGGCGGAGCGCTCCGCCTTCCTCAGCGGGGCAGGCGGACAGGCGACCCGGCGGCCCCGCCGCCCTCCC